GTAATTAAATAATTATATTATTTTTCAGTTTAAAAATTTCCATTTGGTTTTTATTTATGTCTTCTATTTATGTTATTCATACTTTCAATTATCATTTCTATCTTGGGATTTTTCATGATTGCTTACACAGGTATTTTTGTAATAGCTGCTTAAAATCATTTGCAGATAATTTTAACATTTGTATTATCTCACTGTTGGTATTTGTTGTTACTCTCACGGGAATTGAGATTTGCATGGTTCTTCATAAGCAGAATAATTGTGAATTAGATCCTGAATATTCTGACTATTATGTTATAAGTCCCTGGGTCCTGTTTAAATCCTATGGAGAATGTTGATACTTTTAATTTAGTAGAAACATGAGTTGGTTAGGTTGAGGCTCCAAGTTCCAACCCACCTTCTTTGGGTGGTGGTTCTAAAGTAATTTCAATTTGGAGTCTTTGCAGTTATTTATTTTTATTTAATTCTAGCAATCCTAGTAACAGTTCAGTAAAGCAGGTATTATGATACTCATTTTACAAATAAAAAGATAGGTTTGAATTCAGACTATATTCACTAGTTTTATGATATTGGACAAGACTGTCTTTGATCCTTTATTTCCTACCTGTAAAATGGAATTGATAATACATAGCTGACTGGATGGTTTGAGGACTAAGTATAAAACAACACATGTAGCATACCTAGGGCATTGTAGACTCTGAAAAAATCATGGCTAGTTCTTGACGGTTATACTGAGTGTCAACTTGATTGGATTGAAGAATGCAAAGCACTGATCCTGGGTGTGTCTGTGAGGGTGTTGCCAAAGGAGATTAACATTTGAATCAGTGGGCTGGGAAAGGCAGATCCACTCTTAATCTTGGTGGGCACCATCTAATCAGCTGCCAGTGTGGCCAGGATATAAAGCAGGCAGAAAAACGTGAAAAGGCTAGATTGGCTTAGCCTCCCAGCCTACATCTTTCTCCCATGTTGGATGCTTCCTGTCCTCGAACATTGGACTCCAAGTTCTTCAGTTTTTGGGACTTGGACTGGCTTCCTTTCACCTCAGCTTGCAGACAGCCTATTGTGGGACTTGTGATTGTGTGAGTTAATACTACTTAATAAATTCCCCTTTACACACATATATATATAAAATATATATATATGACTAATAGGATATATATATTCTACAAATATATATATTCTACAAATATATATATATATATATATCTCCTATTAGTTCTGTCTCTCTAGAGAACCCTAATACACTAGTCTTCTCATTTTTTAAAAATGATCAATTTTATTGAGGAAAAATTAGTATCAAATGCACACATTTTAAGTTATGGAAGATGACTTTTGACATTCACATACACTGTGTAATCACCACACCAATCAGTCAAGATATTATAGGACATTTCCATTGCCCCAAACAGTCCCATTATGCTCCTTTGAGTCAGCCCTCCTCTCAGCTTCCACCCCAGGCAATCACTGATCTGATTTCTGTCACAACTGATAAGGTTTATCTGCTCTAGAACTTTACATTAAGAAAACAATAAAGTCTGTACTTTTTGTATCTGGTTATTTTCATTCAACATAAATATTTTAGATTCACTTATTACCAACAAGTTTGTTCTTATGTATATCTCAGAAATTTATTCCTTTCTAATTGCTGGCTAGTATTTCTGTATTTTTGGAATGTTTTCCTATTATTGATTGAAATAGCTCTTAGATATTCTGAATTCAAGTCGTTTGTTAACGTATTGTGACTATTGTTTTTCTCAAGCCTGTGAATTATCTTTTCATTTTCATTATGATGTCTTATAGAGAGCAGAAAACCTCAACTTCTATGAAGTTCAATTATTTAAATTTTTTTAATATTGTTTTTTGTGACCCATCTCAAAAAATTTGGCCAACACCAAGGGGATGAAGGTTTTCTTCTGTGTCTTCTTCCAGAAGATTTATAATTTTGGCTTTTATGTTTTAGACTCTGGTCCATTTTGAATTAACATTTCTGTGTATGCTGTGAGGTAGAGCTTAATATTCATTTTTCCTTCATATTGATATCAACTTGTTCCAGCAACACTTGTTGAAAATACTAATCTGTCTATTCCCATGGAATTACCTCGGTACCACTGTGAAAACCTAAATTATCAAATTTATTGCCATAAGATTTTTCATAATATTCCTTTTAATGTCTTCAGTATCTATAATATGTCCCTGCTTTTATTCTTGATATTGGTTATTTGTGGTGCCCCTCTCCTTTTTTTTTCCTGGGTAAGTCTGCCTACAGTTTTAACATTTATTATTCCTTTAAAAGAACCGCCTTTTTGTTTTACTATTTTTTCTATTGTTTTATGATTTTCAATAGGATTGATTTTTTGCTCTATATTATTTTCTCCCATGTGCTTGCTTTGAGTTTAATTCATTTTTCTTTTCCTAATATCTTAAAATGAATGCTTAGATTCTGGATTTGAAACCTTGTTTTCTCATATAAGCATTTAATGGTAAAAAAAAAAAAAAAAAAAAAAAAATTCCCTCTAAGCACTACTTTAGCTGTATCCCACAACTTTTGATATGTTTACATTTTAGTTTAAAATTACTTTCTAATTTTTTTTGTGTGTGACTTCCCCTGTGACCCATGGTTTGTTTAGAAGTACATAGTTAGATTTCTAACTATTTGGGGATTTACAGATATCTTTCTGTTACTGATTTCTAGCTTAATTCCTTTCTGGGTAGAGACAATAATTTTTATTATTTCAATTATTTTAAATTTGCTGAGATTTGTTTGATGATACACAGTGGAGTCTATTAAAGAAAGTGTGTTCTTCAGTTATTGGGTGGAATGTTCTACAAACGTCCATTAGGTCAAGTTGGCTGATAGGATTGTTCAGGTCTTCTATATCAATAGTTCAGAAATTTGCCAGCCTTTTTTCAAAATCAGCTTCTTAGCTTTCAAAAACACTAATGCCTGTATCTCACTCCTTAAGATTGTAATTTATTTGGAGGTGTGGTCTGTTCACTAGAATAATTAAAAGATTCCCAGGTGATTCTAATATACTGAAAAGTTTGGGACCTGAGTTCTGTATACTTAGATTTTCTGTATACTTGTTTTACAAATTGCAGAGCAGGAAGTAATGAACTGTTTGAATTCAATTAATTTTTGATTCATTGCTATTTTTTAGCACTGTGGTTAGGATTTTGCGTCTTCTTGATGAATATGCCCCTTTATCTAATTGTTTTAATGTTATTTTACCTAATTATTAGTGAAGGTAAACATTTTTAAAAAAATCTTTCTGGCCATTGAGTTTTCCTCTTCTGTAAGTGGCCTACTTATGTTATTTGAATATATTTATCTTGAGTTGTCTTTTTCTTATTGATGTGTCTGAATTCTTTATATTTTCAGAGTTTTACTATATTCTGCCAACCTGTGGCTTGTTTTTAACTTGATTAGAGATGGCTTCTCTTCTGTTCGTAAAACTTCTAAATTTTAAAATAATATTTTACATCTTTCCTTAATGAATCATGCTGTTTCTTCCCTATGGTGATATCATAAAGACATATGCTTTTCTTCTAAAAGTTTAGAGTTTTGTTTCTCACATTTTGGGTCATTATTTCATTTGGAATTTAGTTTTATTTCTGTTGTATCAGGATCGAATTTCTTATTTTTATATAAATAGCCAATTTAACTAGAACCAATAAAATTTGTGTCTTCTATATCCTACGAACAGTTACTGTACTAATTTACGTTCCCAACAGTAATGAATAACAATTTTTTCCCACGACCTTAGAAACAGTTATTCCTCACCAGACATCTTTATTATATACCAAATTCCAGGTATCCTTTTTGTTTTTTCTAATTTTCGTTTTGTCTATTCTTATGTCAATACCAGTTTTTAAAAAGTTGCTTTAAAATAGAATTACCATATGATTCAGCACAAATTAATGCACACTTCTGGGTGTATATCCAAAAGAACTGAAAAGAGGGTCTCAAAGAGACATTTGCACAGCCATATCCACAGCAGTATTATTCACAATAGCCAAAAGGAGGAAGCAACCTAAGTGTCCACTGATAGATGAATAAACAAAATGTGGTATAATGCACATAATAAATGATATATAGAACTATTCAGCCTTAAAAAGGAAGTTATGCAATATACTATAACATGGATGAACCCTGAGGCATTATGCTAAATGAAATAAGCCAGTCACAAAAGGGCAAATTCTCTATCATTCCACTCACGTGAGGTACCTAGAGTAGTCAAACTGATAAACAGAAAGTAAGATGATTACTGCCAGAGGATGAGGGGAGTAGGAAATGAAGAGCTGCTGTTTAATAGGTATAGAGTTTTAGTTTGGCAAGATGAAAAGAGAGATTGGTTCTGGAGACTGGTTGAACAATGATGTGGAATGTATCTGATACTACTAAGTTACAAATGGTTAAGATGGTAAATTTTATTCTATGTCTATTTCACTACAATTAAAAACATTTAAAAATACTATTCTAGCAAAAAGTTGCTTTAATAGTTTCTCTTGATCTTTGGTGTCCTGCAATTTCACCATTGCATAGAATTCTTTATATCAATCCTGCTCAAGAATAACTACTTCTTGCAACTGAAAATTCAAATAATCCACAATCTTGGAAAATTCTTAGTTATTACTCTTTGAATACTGCCTGCATCCATTCTCTCTAGTCTCTCTTTTTTGGCACTCCTATTAGATTTATGTTGGAGTTTTTTCATTTATTTAGCTCCTATACTGTATTCTAGTAAATGTCCTCAAATTGAGTATTGTAATCTCAGCCAAATGTACAGTTCTCAAAACACTGAATGGAAAATCTCTTTATATAGCTCTTAAAATGATTAAGGCGATGTGTCAGCAAACTGTGCCAGAAGTAAAAAGTCAAGAAACAGGGAGACATAAGGCTTGTCTCTACAGTTCAGGAGACTGTGCCAAAGCCAAAATAATAATGCATTGCTGTGGATGTCTGCTTTGTACTCAACGAATATTAAAGCAGGATGCCTCTTTGTGTCAAGTGCTAGATTACGATGAGCAGTGTCACGAAGAACACTCTACACTTGATACCGTATGTGTGACCTTGAGCAAGAAACGTATTCACGCTCAGGCTTCAGTTCCTTTCTGTGGGTTGCTGTGAGGCTCCAACGGGGTAAGGTGAGCAAAAATGCTATGCCTCAGTACCACTAGGGTATTTTCTCAGTTCTAAAATATTAAGTGGCCACGCACTACAGATTTAATAATAGTTTGGGAGGAGGGGCGTGAGAAGAGGAACATTCCACTAGCGCAACTATAAGCTTTCCGATTTCGGAAATAAGAAAAATATGAAAAAGTCTGCTTTTAGAATTGAGGAACCACGGTGTCGCGTTGACTTTCTCTGCTCGGTTCGCAAACACTCTTTTCTTGAACTTGAATGACTTCTCTGTCGCTCAGACCAACCTCTCTCCTGATTTTCCACACTGGGATTCTCACTCCAATTCTCAAGGTTTCCTAAGAGACACGATGAACACCTGGGCGGTGTAGCTTCCTTCTTTACTGTCATTGGCTGTCGCTCGTCCAGGTCCCGCCCACAGCGACCTCAATTCTGATTGGATGTCAGTGTCCTTTTGTGATGGTAAAGCTGGATCCCGGTGCTTTGAGATTGGACGACTTGGGGGAGGCGGGCAGCTAATGCGCAGGCGTGTTTCCTCGAGTCGGGATTGGCGGGCGGGGTGCCGGGACGGGGCGGGATTCTTCTCACGCACGTTCTGTGGGCGGAGTGGGCGGAGCTGCCGGCGTCAGTTGGTTCAAGTGTCCCGGCCTGAGGTGTCTGCTTGATCCCTCCCTCTCCCGGCGCCTCAAGCGGAAGGTGAGGGCCGTCCTGGGCAGCGGAGGGCTTGGCCCCAGGCGACTAGAGCTACAGCCTCGGTACCTTCGACGGCCTGGAGGGCGGGGCGGGCTGGACGCGGCCCTGCGCACCGGGGGCCTGGGAGGAGCGGTCTTGGGCCTGGGCGTCTGGTGGGCGGCGGAGGCCTGGCTCCCTGCAGAACCCCTGCGCAACCTCTTTTTCTGCTGTTTTCGTTGTCAGGCCCAGGCGTTCTTTGGGAGAAGGGCCTCTCGCGGTCCCTGACGCAGACATCGTGCAGGTTTCTCCCCGCAGCTCCTGGGTCGGGAGCCGCTTTGCAGCCCCCGGCTCTGGAATTGGACTGCGGGAGGGGCGTTTGGGTGGAATGGGACCTGGCTCGCCTGGACCTGCCCGTGGCTGCTTGCTCTGCGAGAGCCTGAGCGTTGGGAGGGGAGACCAAGGTGGGGAAGGAGCCTAGTGAGCCGTAAAATAAGGATTGGAACGTCTTTCCAGGCGGCGAAAGCGGCACCTGGGTGTGTTGGTGAATCGTCTTCTCCCCAGAGTCCTGCTGAACAAGTTTTGGGAAGTAAGGTTTGGAAAGGAGAAAGAGGATACATTCCTGAAAGGCAAGGCTTCTGTTATACAATGTGTCAACCTCAGACTATTACGCAACAATAAGGACAGATGCCATTCCAGGTGTTCCCAACACGCTGTCTATGCCCGAGGACCCAAAGCTATGCCCATGTATTCTGGTACCTGTATCCCTGATTAAAATCAGTGTAGCTAGCCATCCTCTGAAGAGTATAGCTTCCGTTTAAATCCTCATTTGGCCAAACAATTCCTTGATCTTGTGGAATTTGAAACTGGATTATTTAACCAGGACAAGTCAAAGCAGAACTTGAACAGAGCTGAACAGACAAATTATGTTGAAGTTGATGTAGCCTAAAGGGAATGGGGTTTATCGTGATTTGGTTAGTAAAGATTTCAAAGGAGTTTGACATCAGTGGTAGCAAAATGTTTGGCAAACTTAAGATTAGGGCCATATTAAAGTTTCTTCCATTGCATAATGGAAAAAGCGTGGACTGTGAAGTTAGACCTGGGTTCAAATTCTTGGTAGAGACGTTGGTTGTGAAACCTCTGAAACAGCCTTTCTGAAATTTAGTGTCCATATTCGTAAATTGCAGTTTCCTTCTGTTGATTTGATGAAATAACATATGCAAAGCATTTAGCACATTAATGCACGAAGATATTATTTTAGCCGTCTTACTAGTTCTCTAGTATGACAGATGGTGAAATCAATTTTAGATGCAGAAAAGTTGAGTGACTGAAGATGGACGGATATTAGGAAAAGGTCTCAAAATCTGCAGTCTCATGTGACAACAGCTGTGGTGGAATGGTGGAAAAAACACTTGGGCATTTGTTGTAGTCTTGGCCCTGTTGCTGACTACTTCTGTGGTCTTCAGTAAGCCATTGTTGTCTTTGGCCTTGATTTATCTGTAAAATGAAGCAGCTGGACCAGATGGTTTTCTTTAAATTCTTTTTGTTGCCCAAATGAGAGCTAAAAGGTAGAGAAGATAATAGCAGACATCTATTGAATACCTACTATGTACTAGGTACTGTTGCAAACACCTTGTATCCACTCATTCTCACAACAAACCCATGAGATACGTATGGTTATTATCCACATTTTACAAATGAGGAAACTTAAGGCCGAGGTGTTAACCTTGCCCAAGGTTCCAGAGCTTATAAATTGCAGAGCTAGGATTTGAATCCAGGTAATCTGAGTTCATGTTGTTAATCATCATGCCAAACTGCCTCTCGAGGAGAGTGATATTGTGAATATTGTATACTATTAGAGATACTATAAAAGAAGATAGGGGAATAATTGGTAAGATGCTCGTCTTTGGTCACAGGTGTGTGTGCATGGCAAAAATTATTAAATGCATCTTGTCCTAATGTTTGCCACATTTCCTGGTTTGTATTCTCTCTCTGCGTTCTGCCTCCTGGACTTAAATAATCAAAAAATAATTCTAGATTCCCTTCCACTGACCAAGGCTAGATACCCAAATTTACTGTGATTTTTGAGAAACCTTTAAAAGGTCTGACCTAGGCATACATCAGAGCTGAAGAATCTCAGCGAACCATATCCATTTCTGGGTTACGGTGATTTAGGATAGGCACAGCAGCCTCAGCACCCCAAATTCATTTCAGTGTTCCCTTGCTTCAGCAGACTTGGTCTGAATTTTCTCGTTTTTCATCAGATTTGTGTTTAACTGTAGGAGTAGAAGGAGTTGAAAGTGAACTTTTAAGAGCATATTTGACATGGAATTAGATTGATGTTATAGCAACTATAGGTAAAAAAGGATTTTATAGTTGAAAAAGTTGAAAAACTCAGTATTAAGTACCTATTATGATGTAGTACTGTGTTAAATGTAGACTTTGGGCAGTTTGAGGATCAATCCTATTTTAAAAGAAAAAATCCGTGGCTAAAATACTTTGACATAAAGAACTCAGCAAGTCTTTTGATCCCATATGTAAAACAAATCAGTTTATTGCCCTAAATCTACTGAAAGACTTTGAATATATATTAATACAATAGTAGCATTTTGAGGTGGGTCTGTTTGATCTCATCACAATAAAATACAATTGCTTCTTGTTCTTTTGTTGTGGAGAGGCAGCAGGTAATGCTGTGGTCCACTGTACTAAAGAGTAATGCCCTTATGCCCAGGGCTGCCAGATACAGTGGGCAGGTTTTGCACTGTACAGCACTTGGGGTGCAATCTTACATAGACTGCTGTGAATTGTACTCTCGCGCGTTGTATATCCTATAGCACTGTTCTTGTGGCACTACTTTTGTGCTCCTGCCTTCGCCCCAATCTTGAGTGTGAGAGTAATTTTTCCTTTAATAAGCCCTCTCCACCCTGTTTTTCTGCTTTTAATTTTCTTTCACTTTTTAAGATGAAGTCACTGTTGCTAAACCACGCATAGGTTTTCTATTGTTTGGATTATATGTGGTCAGAATTTCAGAAACTGGCTTCTTTTTCTTTACCTCTTATATTGGTGAGTTTGGAACAGTTGTGCTTTTGCAGACTTTTTGGTTTAATTTAAATATTAGTCTGAAACATAAGCAAAAGAAGACTTCCCAATCACTCTATTATATCTGACTTCAAAATCAGCTGTGTCATTCTCTGATTATCTGTTGCTTTGGCTTGTATATCTTATAACTCTTCTTAGCTATCATGAAAATTTGTTCCAGCTGTAGCCTTAAAAGCACTGGCTATGAGAAATTTGAAGCACCTTTAATTTATTATTTAGCAAATACAGTTGCCAAATTGCAGCTTACTCCTGCTGAGCACTCCCATGATCACTTTTGCTTTTGGTTGTTGCCTCTCTCATCTCACTCAGACCTCTTTCAGCCAGATCAGTGGTTGAAATGGTATGAAAAGAGAGCGACTGGAGCACCTGGTTACAAGTGTGCTTCTCTGTCAGGGAAATGTCAAATCAAGGTTTCACTAACACTCTTCCTCTTCAATTATAAGAGACATGTTGATTCAATGGAGAGGAATAGTTTTTGGAGTGTGGTCTTTAAATACTACAGTAGGTCGAATAACTTTTAAAAAAAAGAATTATTGGAAACATTTTAATAATCTGAAATGCAGAGAACCTGAGAAACCATGTGAGAAAGAGGTCGGGCAGAGCAACTTTAAGTGCGGTTTTAGATAAGGGGAAAGATGCTGGAAGACTTGGAGTCGCTTTATTCAGCATCATTAATTGTATACCATTTGTAGTTAATTATTTAATAAATGTTATGCAAGGGATATTACATATTTTTTTCTTTTTTTTTTTCTGAGACGAGTCTCGCTCTGTCGCCCAGGCTGGAGTGCAGTAGTGTGATCTGCAAGCTCCGCCTCCCAGGTTCACGCCATTCTCCTGCCTCAGCCTCCCCAGTAGCTGGGACTACAGGGGCCCACCACCACGCCCAGCTAATTTTATTTTGTATTTTTAGTAGAAATGGGGTTTCACCATGTTAGCCAGGGTGGTCTCCATCTCCTGACCTCATGATCTGCCCGCCTTGGCCTCCCAAAGTGCTGGGATTACAGGCGTGAGCCACTGTGCCCAGCGCTACATATTTTTTTCTAGACTAGTGGGTGCTATCTTACTTGAACTATAAACTTGAAGTTTGTGTATATGTACACTGGGCACTTTAATTTGAAGTTCATGTTAGTATCTGAAATGTAACAAGATTTATGTAGATGTTCACTGGGCATTTTCAAATTTCATGTTAGTATCTGTAGTATAACAAGATTTGTATTAACAGAAGCTGTGAGAGAATGTGTAATACACTGATACCTCTTTATTGTGATTCTAGTTCTAGTATGTAGATATCCTTATTTAATAGGTCTGCTTTCTACTGTTTAAGATATGGAGGCATAACAATGCCTTGGGCATAGAAGATATTCAATAAATACTTGTTGAAAGAATAACACTGACAAGTCTAGGTCGCTTCAATGTAGTAGATTAGATTGGGTAACAAATCTGTTTTCAGTGATAATCTGGTAACATTATTTACTATATTTTGAACACATTGAATGAAATGATTGTTAGCAATGGAGCAGAACATGTTTTATAGAAATTTTTTGTTCTAATATTTAGAAGTGTTTATTGGAATAATAAAATGTTAGTATTTATTTACTTATTTACATCCTGATTAGTCTGTTTTGATTTTACCCTGACTAGGAGCTGATGAATGGACATTTTTTCATTTATTCTATATTACTATTTTAGATGGTCTAAATAGTAATTTTTCTTTTGAATTTTATTTGTAAAATATTAAACAGTATATGTAAAGCAATACTTTAATGAAGAATATTTGAAAAAAATTTTGTCCTCATCCATACCATCATCCTTAATATCAGAGCATTTTTTCATTTTCATGTTTTTTATGCATATTTATGTATATTTCATATAATTTACATCAGTGAATATACAATTTTATACACATTGTTTCATGTACTATAGTCATAATTATTTTCAGTAGCCACTCTATTAGAAATTATAACTGTACTCAGGAGGCTGAGGAGGGAGGATTGCTTGAGTCCAGGAGTTTAATACAGACTGGGCAACATAGCGAGACCCCCATTTCTAAATAAATAAATAAATAAAAATATATCTTCTTAAAAAGAAAATCACAACTGTAATTTACCAGACTTTGAGTGGGCAGTTATGTTGTTTCTGAGACTTGGTTGTAAATAAGATTGAAGTGATTTTTATGTATATAACTTTCTTTGCATTATTGTCCTTAGCCTAAATTTCCAAGAATAAAATACTTAGTTAAAAAATATTTAAATATTTTTATGAATCTTATTATCATATTGCTTTCCAAAAAGAGTACATATTTAACAGTTGTGTCCAATGTTTGCGTATTTGTTTTTCTGTAACTTTGCTAGTATTGATCATTACCTCCTTTAAAAAATAATAATTATACCGTGGTATTTATGTATTTTTTGATTATCAAGAAGCTTAACATTTTCTCTCACTCAAACTATTTATATCCTTTGCTTATTTACCTATTAGGCATTTATTTTATTCTTAAAAATAGTAAAGCATATGAAAAGTCCTGCTATGTCATATTTAACAAAATCATCCTCCTTTGAAAAACAGGCTTATATTTTATTGCTGTGTGTATCTATATTTCTAAATTTTTCTTATTGTAGACCATTCATCAAGGATTTTGTATCCAAGGCACAAAAGTTTGTTGCCCAAGATGATGAATGCTGACATGGATGGTATGTTCTTCATTTTCTTTTTTGTATACTCCTCGTTTTGTGGATGTTTTGCTTTATTAAGCAATGGAAAGGACAGAGAAACAATGTTTAGAAGAGTTGGATCTTGGCTAATTCCTTATTTATATCTCATCTAGTGTCAGAAAGGACCAACCAAAGCAGCTTTCATTCCTTAGCTATGAGAGGTTGGCAAGTTATTTTTATCTTCTTTACCTTGGTGTCCTTATCTGCAGTTTGGGGATACAACATTTTATATCACAGGGCTCTTGTATAAGTCAAGTAAGAATGAATATAAAACATTTTGCAGATTTTTAAGTGCTACCCTACACAATAGTACCTAATGTTAATTAATAGTAAATTTGAACCTTTATATTACAGCAGTTGATGCTGAAAATCAGGTGGAACTGGAGGAAAAAACAAGACTTATTAATCAAGTGTTGGAACTCCAACACACACTTGAAGGTTAGCTTGCATTTTGTAGTTTATTTGAATGACAGCCAATTAATTGAACTTGTAAGCATTTATATTGCTAAATTTTGTTAGAATGTATAATTTTTTAAAAGAATGAACTTCAAAGTTTATATATATATGATCTTCCTGCTTTGGTAGTTTAAAGAACAGATACACTTCAGTCAAGTCAAATGGTGTTATTATGCTTCCCTCTTTAAAGCCTAACATAATGCTGGCTAGTGTGAGACTCCCTTTTAAGTCCCCACAATGTGTTACTAAGTCCGCTTTAATAAAACTTGTTTTAAAGTAGAAACAATGTATTAGCCTTGGAGATTAAAAAGGAATTTACCTGAATTTTTTCATTTTCTAAGTCTTGCATAAAATTAATACTAACACTGAAACATCTTTTGAGTTTTAATAAAATTAAGAGGTTGTGCTTTTGGTGCCACAGTGAGCAGATCATGTCACTCAGAACCTCCCACTGACTTACATTTTACAGAGTTAATAAACGTCATCTGTGACTTCCCTATTAGCTTGCTTTCTTTTTTTTTTCTTTTCTTTTTGAGATGGAGTTTCACTCCTGTCGCTCAGGTTGGAGGGCAATGGCGCAATCTCGTCTCCCTGCAACCTCTGCCTCCTGGGTTCAAGCGATTCTCCTGTCTCAGCCTCCTGAGTAGCTGAGATTACAGGTGCCTGTCACCACGCCTGGCTAATTTTTTGTATTTTTAGTAGAGACAGGGTTTCACTGTGTTGGCCAGGCTGGTCTCAAACTCCTGACCTCATGATCCACCCGCCTTGGCTTCCCAAAGTGCTGGGATAACAGGCGTGAGCCACCATGCCCAGCCAGAATTAACTTCTTATATGATCATCAGGAACTGCATGTGTTGAATGTCTTGATAATGTTACAAGATGATCAGTTGCTTGGAAACTGACTGCCTGTATTCAGTATATGAATTCAATTGTGTTAACCTGATATATATCTTAAACATTTCTAGTAAAGATCTTATGGTTTTATGTTGATAAGACATAAAATGTGAACCAGAATTCACATTTTAAAAACAAAGTCTTTTTTGAAAATTAACTACCCAACATTAATGCTATTTACAAAGAATAACATTTAGCCTAATGTGAAGTATTTTTAGGAATTTGTCTACTAATTTGCACTCAGTTTGTTTACCTTGCTGTCTCTAAAATCTGAATTCTTAAAATTTAAGGATTGTGTTACCTCTTTTAAGAATGAATCCTAAGAATTTTGTAATACGGAATCATTGTCATTGTTATATTGATAATGGGCATTTTTATTTTTTATAAAGATCTCTCCGCAAGAGTAGATGCAGTTAAGGAAGAAAATCTGAAGCTAAAATCAGAAAACCAAGTTCTTGGACAATATATAGAAAACCTCATGTCAGCTTCTAGTGTTTTTCAAACAACTGACACAAAAAGCAAAAGAAAGTAAGGGATTGACACCCTTCTGTTTTATGGAATTGCTGCTGATCATTTTTTCTTTAAAACTTGGATAGATTCCAAAAGTTACAGTACCTTTGTGGCTTCATTGAATATTTATGAAGAAAATGTCAGATGTAGACAAAAATAACACAATAACAGGAGGCTTCCATAAGTTTGTGTATTATGTTAGTCTATGAAAACGTGCAAATGTATTGTAGAGACTTTATATTAGAATTGCATATATTTATGAAACTTAAAGATGAATGTTTTATCAAATTTGTAGGTTTAGCACTGTCTTTTATTATAGGATTAGTAAGATATAGAAGAAAATAACCACCATGTTGTGAAAAAGTGACCAAAATCATGTACTAAATGCACAGCTTTATGTACCCTGTCCACCATCTTGTGCCTCTTTTCCATTTGCCTCTTCCTTCCTATTTCCCTTCCCTTAAGGAAAAAAATTGGTGTCACATTTGTAAAAGTAATTTTAATAGTTAATCATCTCTGAGAGTAACCTGTATTTTCACTGTTGAAACTTAACCAAAATAAGATACTGTCTCAGCTAGGGTTTGTCATTTGTGTATTTAGTATTAAGATAGGAATGCTAGTGTCTCTTTAATTAATTGGAAATAGATGGAGGCTAAAAATGAAGGTTTTTCTTTGAAACTGAATTAACTTGAGAAATTTGTTGTTAAAAACTTCTTTTTGCACAAAATAACTCATTTTGTATTATCTGAAAATATATAATTTCTGGTCATGTGTATGTTTAAAATAGAAAATTTTGAGGAAAAATGGAAATAGGGTGGAAAAGTACTTGGTAAACAGTAGTAACCAACTTCAAATATTTTCACTCCAGATTTGTGTTTTCTCTGGCACAGAGTAGATCTTTTGGGAAATATATATGATTAAGTTTGACTACCCTTGTGTAAGCCACATCTGGATGAGAACAGTTACAAAGAGTTTGGTCTCTAAGTTGATTCGTACCCAGCAGGTCAACTTTTGCAAAATTCCGTAACAGTGTGTTAGTATTAGAATAGTGAATAAAATGGGAGTTTTACATGTATACTTATTATCTTGCTCAGTATTTTATCTCACTTGTTCTAGAATTTTCTGTAAACCTGCTACTGGGTTTGAAGAGTTTTAGTCATCCTTTAACAATTTTTAAAAATTTAGCTTGTAGATTCCATTTGGTAAGGAAATCAGTAATGGAAGTAATGCTAAAATCTTATAATATGAAAAGAGATCCACTAATATAGCTTATGGTTATTTGATTTGGGCTACTTTTAATCATGGAATAATCTTATGTATTGGTGTAAGAGTTGATGAATGACTTTAGCTGTGTGAATATATAATAGTGAAACTGCAAACATTTTGCATCTCTTTTGTGACCTAATTTACAGACATTTAAATTGTGTTGCAGTTCTGCTTTGCTGTTTAATAAAAAGCTATTTCAGAGGTTGTGTGTGTTTTGATATAGTTACCTAAGTAAATGGGGTATTTAGGTTTAGTGGTGTATCCAGGGTTGTTCAATGCCATAGAATAGTGTATCTTATTTAAGTACACAGTTACTGATTATTTAGGGGAATAACATTTTTATTAATAAAACTAACTGGTTATCAATATAAATATCATAGACTATTAAACATTAATTTAGAGAACAAAAGCAAAGCACTCAAAGGATCCAAGATCTCCAGGGAAAAAGGAAGTTGTATTTTTTAGGGTAGGCTAAGCTACTTTAGCAAGAGACCCAGTGATAAAGAATATAAATACAGAAGTTTCTCTCCCAACCAGTGGTTCCAAGGTCAGCATTGCAGGCTAGCAGCCCTTGTTCACACAGTTACTCAGGGACTTTGGCTGAGGATGGTGCTGCCATTTTAAATCATGGCTTTCAAGTCACTCTAGTGATTACTCATCTAATTTGCAGGAAAAGACCATGGAAGTGTACATATGCAAGGTTTTATGGGCTGTGCCTGGAAATGGTTCATATATCTTCTTATATTCCAGTGGTGTGGAGACTTAGTTACATCTAGATACAAGAGGAGCTGAGAAATGTAGTCCATGGCTGGGAAGCCATATTCCAGCTATAAATACAAGATTTTGGTGGCCACTAGCAGCCTCAGCCACAGCTCTTGTGCTGCTAAGTATCTTCCCTTACATAGAGAGTAATCCCTCTTCATCCAGCTAGTGATTCAGCTCACAATCTCTATTAAAAGTCCATCCCTTTAGATGTGGCTTCTAACAGTCTGACAATCTCTAAACTGATAGACAAATTATTTGCTCTCACCCTTACTGCTGCCCATTTATAATGTAGTGGGGACAGGATGGCCAAATAAAAAGTCTCAATTTGGAAAATGGAATAAAGGGAAACATGCAAAAATTGTGGAATGCACCTGGGAGATGTATGAAGATTTTGTCCCTAGTAGTGGAGAAGTACTTTGATTCGACTATGATTCTGATCTCTGGCAGGGGACTCCCTTGTTCGTTGAACTCCATGGTTTCCCCTCTGGAAATTTACTCCCTATCCATTTTCTATGGCTACCTTGGAAGTAGAGGTTGGGTGTTCACTCCCTGGGAATTGTGAAGACAGTCCACTTCCTGCTGGTGTGAACTTGGTGCCCATTTTAAGGCCAAGCTCATGTTTCTTGGGAATATGAGTCTCTTAAAAACTCAAGCCTTTTTATCAATATGCTCCTGATTCCATATGCCACGGAACCACAACCAAGCTTTTGACCACATTCTCAAAGTATGTATTATTTTTGCCTTTCTTTAATGGAGGCTATCGTGAGATCAACTGAAAAGAAGATTGCACTGGGAATGTTACATGCAGATCATCACTGCAAGGCTGGGTTCCTCTGGCTTAACAATTGGTAGAGAAGTCTTCATGGGCTTTCCCCCAATCTCCCACACCTCAAAAATAATTTTGAACCTTTGCTGCTATTCAGACTTCAGAAACAATTGGCTTACTTTTGTGAGGTTCCTTGTATCTGAACTTGGTCTATTCCCTTCCATCTCTGCATGAAAATGTCAAAATTTTTTGATACCTTGCTGAAGGCAAGGAATAGCCAATTCATTTAACATTCTGTCTTTTTCCAACTAGAGCTATCAGCTTAGTAGGTGTCAAAATATATCCCCACTGCTTGTCATGTTAATGGTAAGCTAATGCTATATACTTAGTTTTTGCTATGCAATACTTCAGGATAATTTCTTCATTAGAAATATAAGTGGTACACAGTGTGCACAGGGACTGTGTCCAGCTTCTGGAAAAGACTCGACCAAATTTTAGACAGGCTCCTTTGAGCCCTCTTCTTCACTAGTCCAGTTTTAGCAGAAATCCTGCTAAATCAGTTTAGAGAGAATCCCGTCCTCAGTAACATGATCATCAACCTGGACTGTCTCTGGCAAGAATCATCCTACTCTTGATGTCCCCACTTAGTAATTTTCCATACACTGACCTCATCACTACTCATTGACTATAAATCCTCAGCTGTATTTGCTGTGTTAGTTGAGCCCGGTTTCTTTCCCTTATTGGATGATGGTCTTAACACATACAGTCCTGAGTAGTAGTCTTTACTGCTTTAACAAGTGTCAGAATGGTTTTTTCTTTAGTACTTCCTAGCTTACATGCTGGTAGAATAATATTTGGTAGGGAAAAATCAGCATACTCCTTGTTATGGACTGAATGTGTCCTCCCAAAATTCTTAGGTTGAAATCCTGACCCCAAGGTGATTAGGAAGTGGGGCCTTTGGGAGATAATTAGGTAATGAGGGTGAAGCCCTCGTGAATGGGATTGTGTCCTTATGCAAAGAGATCTCAGAGATTTCTCTTTCTGCCACATAGAAGACAGCAGTCTGCATCCTGGGAGAGGGCCCTCAACGCTGATCTCAGACTTCCAGCCTCCAAAACTGAGAAATACATTTGTTGTTTACGAGCCACCCAGTCTATATTTTATTATAGCATCCCAAATAGTTCAAGACACCCATTTTCCCCACTGTTTCCCAGGAGGAATTTCCCCAATATTGACACTGCCATTCTATGCAAAATGTGTCCTCTTTATATTCCCTTTGGACTCACAGCAGGTTACTACAAATCACAGTTCCTCGTCTGAAACTTGCAGGGCCAGATGTTTTAGAATTTGGAATTTTTCAGATTTTATAAAATATTGTGACTCAGACACCAATATGGTTTGGCACAACACGTATAATTAAGTATATTAACATTTCTGCAGCAAAATGAGTATTAAAGTAGGATAAAGAAAGACTATATATATATAAAATCTTGCTGAGAAAGTCAGGCTCAGCTACCAGGTGAGTTTTGTTACCAAAATGCTGGGAAAAACCTTTCACTTTTCAGAGATTTCTGGTTATGGAATTGTAGCAACAAAACCTTTTGTAGAAAAGTAACCAAAATCATGTATGCATTTAGTTCCAACCAGTTAATATCGTATCTCTATTCCTGTCCCTATTCCCTGTGATCTAGTCCCTTTTGTAAAAGAAAAATGATAGTTGAATTATAAAATCTAAAATTAATTTTATGGTCCAAAGAAAAGTGAAATTGTTCCTAATTTTAGAATGTAAAGCCATTCTTTACTTTGCCCAATAAAAATTTTGTTTTTCCCTGAACACTCTGTGGTGGCTGTCATCAGATTCTTCAATGTGCATGTAACCAAAATTATTACCAGTGGATACCAGAGATTAGTTGTTAAGAGCATTTGTAAATCATGAAAGAACAGATTATGTGAAGATATGAAAGGTTAAGAATTGGAAGAGACTTAATTCCTTCTTACTCTTATCAGAAAACTAGCTGCAGTTTATTTCACTGGAATCAGAGATTAATGGTATTTAAAAGACAAATTTACAAGGCTAGGTGTGGTGGCTCACACCTGTATTCCCAGCTCTTTGGGACACCAAAGCAAGGGGATTCCTTGAGCCTAGGATCTTGAGACCAGCCTGAACAACATAGTGAGAGCGTGTCTCTCCAAAAAAAAAATTTTTTTTTAATTAGCCAGGCATGGTGGTACTTGCCTGTAGTCCCAGCTACTCGGGAGACTGAAGCGGGAAGATTGTTTGATCCCAGGAGTTCAAAGCTGCAGTGAGTTACGGTACCACTGCACTCTAGCCTGAGTGACAGAGTGAGACTCTGACTCCTCAAAAAACAAAAACAAAACAAAAAAGGCACATTTACTGTAACAAGGACTTTATGTTGGCCGTTAGCCTTTGGACCTATGAAAGGGTGGGTTGAGAGAGAACAGAAGCTGAAGTTGTACATTCATTGTAATCAATTTTATAATGTATCTTGTTTTAAAATGTATACATTATAGATGGCTTATCAAGTGCTATTAAAACTTGGAAATACCCCCAAATTTTACCAAAAAGTATTCATTTAACAAACACAAAATATGTGATAACTACGTTGGGTGGTAAAAGCCCATTTTTCCAGTTGTCATGTTGCCCATCTTCTCTAAAACTACCCTACTTTTCCATGCATTCTCTTTCCCATCAATTTGCCTCATATCTGACCTTTCAGAATAAGGGATAATTTTATTTCCAAAACTCAGCTCTCATACTATGGAAATACATGGGAGTTATATACTTTTGAGGGGGGAGAAATTGTTGAAATGTATGCAGAAACTTTTATGTTTTAATAAATCACATATAAAAGATTTAATTATCTTACTTTAGCCATCTTATAATCTTTAAATCCTGCTAAAGTTAGAACATATAGCCACAATTAAAAAGAGAACAAAACATTGTTCACAGATGCCTAGAGTGTAATGTATTTATGTTTTAACTATTCTGAATAGTTTCTACTGAAGACAAAACCATTTAGGGACTAGAATTCTGAAATTTTAAAATACATTAAATTCATTTCTAGTGGTTCATTTTAACATGTAAGCAGTTCCATCATGTTTCTCCTCCAAATGTGGTCTGATAGCTCAAAAAGACTAATTCTAGAAACATGATGTTTTCTTGGAGAAATGATTAATGGAAGCAAGACCATCAGTAAAAAATATTCAAGAAAAGGGACGTTACTTTACACTGATAAAGTTTAAAAGCCTCTGAAAAGGCAAACTAAAATAAAGAAAAGCAAAATACACTATTTTTCTCCTTTATGGATAAGATGTAAGTCATTTTGAACAATAAAGTCAGATTAGGGAGTAAAAGGAAAAAGCCATTTGATTATTAAGAAAGACTGTCTATTGCATGGATATAGTACAGGTTATACATTAGAGTTTTAGTTTTGTTAAACCTGTCAGTTACGGTACATCCACAAAGGAGTATGTGCACAGGAATTAGCAGTGATTTGGCAAATTCAGTTGCTCAAATTTTACCACTGCAAGCTCATGGAGTTTAACCAAACAAATGAATCTGCAACCAAGAAAGTAAACAAAACAAAACAAAAAAAACCCAAGCTTTAAAGAGTCTTTAGAGAAAAATGTTCACATGCAAGAATATTGC